GGTTTCACTTCTTCAACAATCAATGTTCCAGGTTGGACAGTGAAGGGCCGCAAGGTGCTGCCCTGGGTAATAAGAGGTCACTCTGACAGGCCACCCTAACTACGAACACAGAGAATCATGGTTCCATGTCTGAGTTTTTTTTTAAGCTGAGCCATCCTGCCACCTGTTGGCAGCTCAGCGGCTGCTCAGCTCAGGCTGGGAATCGAACCACTGTTGCTCAGAGCTCAAACTCTTGAGCGAGCTCCTAACCAACTGAGCCACTCGGCCGGCCCCTTTGTCTAAGTTTTTAAATGATGACTTTTTTTTTTCTTGGGGGGTGGTAAATTGGATTTCAAATAAATAAAATGGAGTCATGTGGATTGAATATGGTTTTGGGGAGAATAAAAGGCTTGGTAAATGAAGCGAACTACAAGTGGATCTGATGGTTCAGATCACATAGTTAGACTGTCCATTTCCTAGGGTTCAGGTTGAAGGGCCCTGAGAAGACACCCAGAGAGAAATGAGCATAGTCTTGCATTTGGGGGGCTCTGGTAGGGTGAGGAATTGTCCTGAGGTCTCCACATTTCCACTGACTAGAAATGAAAAGACCTGCTCACATAGCCCTGAGAAGGGACCCTCAGACCTGTGGACTCTAAGCTTTTGGGAACTCCATTAACACAAATCTAAGCCTATATATGACTAAAGGTGCTATTTCTTTACCTACAAGTTATATAAAAGTACTACTGCACTAATATGCCATGCACATTATAATACATGCACAATCAACTTAAAAAGAATAATATGAAATAGGAGTTCTACAATTTTTGTTCCCCCATACCTGAGTAGATGCCTTGTTTGTCCCTTGGTTCTCTGCACTTATCCTGAGTCTGTACAGTAGTCCCCACTTATCTGTGGGGGATATATTCCAAGACCCCCAGTGGATGCTTGAAATTGCAGATAATCCTATTTTGTATATACTATGTTTTTTCCTATACATACATACCTATGATAAAGTTTAATTTATAAATTAGGCACAGTAAGAGATGAACAACAATAACTAATGATAAAACAGCATAATTAAAACAATGTACTATAATAAACGTTATGTGAATGGGATCTCTCTTTTAAAGTATCTTGTGCTGTACTCACCTTTTGACAGAAAGGAAACACTTTATGGCTTCCTTTGGCATATCCAAATTGCTGGCATCACTACTCTTGTGCTTTGGGGCCATGAGTAAGTAAAGCAAGGGTGACTTGAACACAAGCACTGTGATACTTTGATAGTCAATCTGATAACTGAGACAGCTACTAAGTGACTAATGGGGGGGTGGTGTATACAGTATAGAGATGATTCACGGCCCGTGCAGGACAGAGCAGGACAGCCTGAGATTTCACCATGCTACTCAGGGCATGCAATTGAACACATGAATTATTTCTGGAATTTTCTATTTAATGTTTTCTCACCGTGGTTGACCGTGGGTAACTGAAACTGCAGAAAGCAAAACTGCAGATAAGCAGGGGACAACTTTATACATAGGAAGCAGAGCAATGTTCATCCATTGATTATATTCATGTGTCAAGGGCAGCACACGCTTCTCAAATGGTGGTTGATTGAAATAGTTATTTATTGTCAAAACACCCAGATGACTTGTTGACTGAGGTTTAGGAGAGGCTGCCCAATAGCATCAATGAGAAAAACATTTTTGGAAGAACAATATTTATGTGTTCTTATATAGAAACTCTGCCTTAAAGCTTGACATTATTTTACTTGACATTTCTGCTCCCCACGTCCAATTCGGAATTATTGGAGTGCTGAATTTTTTTTAATGTTATTAAAACTGCCAAGCTAAAATTATATTTTATATCTTGCTTACTCCATGAGGACTACAGACTTGACCACATGCTTTTCAAAGAATTGAAGATTTCCAGCACATTTTTGCTACTTTTAAGAGCCAAAGAATGCCACAGCCTCATAGCTTCAGAAATGCAAACTTTACAATAGATTCCTACATATTTTTACTTTTTATAATAATGAAGCTCAATTTTTACATGTAGTGATCAGATGACCTAATCTAACCCCCCTGGATTAGGAAAGGAAGGCCCATGGAGGGCAAATGACAATTTAGGAAACAGCAGAGCTAGAGCCCAGGGTCCTGACTGCAGATTAGTTCTCTCTCCACCACAGTCACCTTCTGGTTCTCAGATTTCCCCTTCATCTGCCCGGCTTCAAGATAAATGAGTGGTTGGAAGCACAAAGCTGGGTTCTCATTCTAAAGGGAATAGTCCTTAAAATCCCTTGGGTGTGCATCAGTGGCTACACTACTTCAAAGAAGACTCTGAGGTGCAGATTGGGCCTATCCACTTGATTTTCTGAACTCTGTACAATGGTGTTCACCTGCTACACACTCTTGATGTTGTTTCCCTTAGGCCTGGTTCCTGTCCTCTGGCTAGAGATGCCAAGGGTCTTGCTACAAGGAAATAAACACCCTACAAGATAGAGTGCAAAGGTGAAGAGTGCAAAGACTCAGAGCAAAGATGTAGGTCAGCTCCACACCTTGACCCTACCCATCACTCCCCTCTCTACTTCCGTCTTTCTCTCCCTAGTCAGTGTCTGTGTCTAATGACCAGGCTGAGAAGGGGTAAGAATGGATGTGTACTAATGGATGCGTAAACCTTCAGTGGATTTCATGAATTCCAAGCAGTATTGAAGTGTTGCTAGAAAAGGAAGGGTTGGAAAAGGGTTGATTTATAAGGATAAGGCTTCAAATGTAGAAAACTTTTTCCAGAGCACGGATTCTCTATGTCTCCTCCCACCACTGAGTTTAGCCACCACCACTGCCAGTCGGTCATGGTGGTGGTGTGTGGCTATGGATTCAGGCATGGGAAGCTGGGGGCTGTCTTTTGGGGGTATGTTCTGGGACAACAATGGCCTTTTTGACTTTGTCAGTTACCTCCAGGTGGAATGGCTCTACAGAGGACAAGCAGAATGGCCGGCTGCATACACCTGGACCAGCTGTTTTCTATATCTCCCATCTTTCTCTGTCTCTCCACAGGAGATACCAGCATGGGCATCCAGGTGTGCTGGCATCTCACATCTGCAGGTCTTCCATTTTCCCCACACACCTGGAGCTCTGCTTGTAGTGTAGCAAAGCTGGGGAAATGGAAGTACGGGCAGAGAAATACAGTAAAGGATGCCCACACTTGGGGGGTGGAGCGGAACTTTGTCTGAGAAGAGGGGCTGGGGTCAAGGGTCAGCTTCGCTTTTTCCTAGTCCCCCCACTACCCCCAAACAGCCCTATTTATATTAGGTATAAAATTAAACAAGCTGGTCAGGAAGGAGCCCAGGACTATATCCACCCACCTCACCTACCCCCAGAAAGACCCGGCTATCTGGAGCCTAGGAGAGGAGACTTGGGAAGCCAGGATCATTCTCCAAGGACCCTAGAGTACGCATGCTGAGAGGACTGAAGCTTTGAGTAGCTGTCGAAGAAAGAGAGCAAGACCCGTGGGTGGGAGTTCCATGGACAGAGAGTTCAGTTCAATAGAAGGAAGAATGTTTAACAGTCAGGCGCTCCAACAATGGGACAGGATCTCCAGAGTGCTGGGAGTAACTGTCACTGAGGTATTAAGAGACACCTGGAGGACCAAAGTGTGGACATGTACCGCATTCATGGACAGCGAGCGGGGCGGGGGGGAGGGGGAAAGGATAAAGGCAGGTGGTTAGATATTTCCACTCTATGACTCTAAAGAGCCCATAATACAAGGACACATCATCCATCGGTGTTGACCATTTTACACAGCCCTGTACCGTTAAAACAACATCCTCCAGGAGGAAACCAAGTTAATTACGAGAAAGAAGCTGCCTTAAGTAACAAAATAAACCAGGTGGGAGAGGAGAACCCCAGAGCACCGCTGATGATGTCTATGCCTCTATAACCTCTTTAGGCACAGATTTCTCACTTGTACTTGTGAAGATGCTAAGGAAAGCTACTCAATGGGGTTGTTGGGAGAAGAAATAATGAAATAATAACAACAGATAACTGAATGTTTACTATGGGCCAGGGACTGTTTCAAATGCTTTCCTTATGTTGTTTAATTCTTGCAACTCCTCATTTTACAAATGCAGAAACATAGCCAAAGAGAATGTGAGTCACTCAAGGCTATACAGCTGGAAGAGGGGGAGTAAAATGACCCGGGAGACATCTACATATCACACCCAAACACTTAGCACAGTGCTTGGGATAAAGTGAGGGCTCACGTGGTAACTATTATTTTAATAGAACTAGAGCAGCATGGTGGTCAAGAGGGGGCGCTCTGGAGTCATTCTGTGTAAGGTACGCAGGTAACTAAAGTTCTCTACGCCGGTGTTCTTATCTGTCAAGTCGGCAAAAAATGCCCATTTCATAGGGAGGCTCAAAGGTTAAGTGATGTAATGCATGTAAAACGTTTAGAATAATGCCTGCAAATATAAGTGCTCCACAAATGTTAGCTAATATTATATAAACACGCCTTAGATTACAAATATGCAAATAGGTGTTTAGTATATTCATATAACATACTCAACAAACGCCACACCTATGTCTGTAATATCCATACATAAAGGGGAATCACTCAAGAAGAGTTTCAGTTTAGTAATGGGGCACCATTAACAACCACTGATCTCTTCTGGTTGCATAGTATAGCAGAAAGTGCATGTTTTTCACTGCTCTGTGCTTAACCGAACCACAACTCAGATGTATAGGCCCTTAATTCTATCGGATGGTCAGCAGTTTTTCTACAGGTGGTTCTTCCTGGAAATCAGCCTCTCAGGTTGTCCCTGAACCTCCAATCAAGTGAAATTTTCCAGATTTGGATGAGTGAAGGGGAAGGGACTACAGAAGCAACCCTGGAGAAGAAATGGAATGTTTTCCACTAACTTTTTCTGTAAGACAAGCTCTTCAAGAGACACCCAGGACTGATCTGGGGATGGAGACTGAATTCTTCTACCAACATCTGTAGAGCTGGTGGTTTGGCTGTCCTACCTGGTGAGCTTGGTGCCAATCTGCTGCCTCAGCTCCAGTCTCTCTTCATCTGTCTGCCTGGGAAGGATGTTCTTTTCTTCTAGCTCTCGCTTGGAGGGCCTGTTGCTGAGTTTGATGGCTAAGGAGTCCTTCCTGCACACTTTCATGGCCAGGGAGCCTGCAGGAGGGAGACACGAGTTAATAGAAAAATAAAGTTGGGTAAAGCGGGATCTGTTTAGAATGGAAGTAAGGTCATTGAAATAGGTGATATTCTGGGATTGTATTTCCTTTTCAACATAAGAGGTTCTGAGCAGCTAGCCAGGGCAGGGTTTCCTTCCATCTGGAATAAATCCATGGTTCTCAACTAGGGGTGATCTTGACCCCAGGGAATACTTGGCAAAGTCTAGAGACATTTTTGGCTGTCAGAAATGGGGTGTGGTGGGGGG